GTAGTTCCGGCTGGCCTTGCCCTCACTATGCAGTATAGGCTGGCCTCGAACTTGCAGCGATCCTCCTGCCTCAGCCTCCTGAGCGCTGGGATTCCAGGCGTGCGCCACCATGCCCAGCGCTCAAAAGTTCTTTCAATGCCAAAATTGGCCTAATGGTTGGCCCCGCTTTGGAGTTAAACACACTGAGGCATATTCTCTTTGCCCTGAACCCACAAATCTCCAGCTCCTAGGCCGCCCACTCCACTTTCTCTCATGCCGATAACTACTAATCCCCCGATCCACAAGCACACCCAGACTAGCCACCTTGTCCCCGGGAACAGCCATCACCAGCACCTCCCCACCCTACTCCTCGCAGCCATCCTGGGCCCACCATCAGTCCCTCTGCTCTACCGCCCCCTCTTTCTGTTTTTTGTTTTGCTTTTGGTACCGGGAATCGAACTCAGGACCTGGCGCTTGCCAGGCAGGCGCTTGTGCCTCTGAGCTACATCCCCGGCGCCCCCGGCCCCTCTTTCTGGATCACCGTTATTCCTTGGCATTCGGATCCACGTGCAATTCCCCAGAATCTCTGCCCCTGCCCGACATTCATCGGGAACACCAGTATCTCTGAGTAGCCCAGCCTTTGTGCACATCGCCTCGACCAGTCCAGGTTCGGAGTGTACATTCAGGCACTTTGATCTCAGTCTCCAAAATCATCCGGCAACCTGGCCGCCACGAACCCCAAGCTCTCCACGCCTTCCGCGCGCACCTGGAGGAGAAGACGCGAGAACAGCTGATCGCGGCGCCCACGTCGCAGAGCGCGCGGTAGTCCCGGTCGCGGGCGCGCGCCGCCTTCACGTGCAGCGCGTAGAGAGAGAGCGCCAGGCCTGCGAGGCAGAGCGCTGGCCGCAACCACCCGGGGTTCCTCCAGGTGGAGCCCATTTCTGTAGGTCCTGCCCCAGTGCCAGGTGGCCGGGAACCACTCAGGAAGGCTCCGCAAAGCCCCGCCCTTCTTGCCCCGCCAGCTTGGTGATTGGCTGGCACTGGCGCGTTCTCCCGGATCCTATTGGCTGTTCTCGGCACTCCGTAGATGCCATCGCGAGCACGAAAACAGCGAGGAATGCTGGGGTTGTAAACTGCATTGAGGGAGCGGGTAACCGCAGACGAAGCGGCTGCAGGCCCGACGGGAACTGTAGTTGGAGGGGCTACGAGTCATCGAGGGAAATGTATTATTAACGTGACTAACAGCATTCTGCGGTTCCCCTGTACCAAGCCCTATTCTCGGTATTAACACATCCACGACCTAGGTCCGATTCAGGAGGCAAGCATTTCCCTGAGTGACTATTTCAGACACTGCTGGGGCTACAGCCTAATATCCTCCCGCTTCCCGCCTCGCTTCCTGCTTTCAATCGGCGGAGTTCTCGCTCCCTTAAATTCCGTTAAGCCACACCTTTCACAATTGCCCAACCTCTGTACTGTTGAGGCGCCCCATGAAAAAACTTGAGCCTGCATCAACCCACCGGTCCCTTCTTTCCAAGCTGCCCTTTACAACAGCTCCGTCTACTGAAGACCCGTCTCTTCTGTGCCTTCAAACCCTCCATCCTTCCCGTCTGCATGAAGACTTGTTTCAGAAACAGCAACAAGGCTCCCTTAGCCAAGAGGACCTCGCGAGCGAGCTCCTCCCCGTTATCCACATCCTCCCTTCACAGCCAAGGTTTGAGATACAATTTACATTCCTGTTCTCCGCTTCCTGCCATCTTCCCACCGCAGAAACTAGCTTCTACCCCCAGACACTCCCCTGACAATTGGTGGTGGGATCACCAAGATGCCAAATCCAGTGGTTATTTTTCCAATCTCATCTTGCTTTACCTGCCAATAGTATTAGTCATTGTTTAGTTTTGTTTTGTTTTATTTCTTGTCTTTTTGAGACAGGGTCTTGCTCTGCAGTTCAGGCTGGCCTTGAGCTCACTTTGTAGCCCAGGCTGGTCTCAAACTCGCAAAGATTCTCCTGCCTCAGCCTCCTGAGTGCTGGGATTACAGGCGTGTGCCACCATACCTGGTTTAGTATTAGTCATTGTTGTGCACTCCCTCCTGTGAGCTCTCTTTTCCGCTGGGTACTATGATGTCCCCTCTCCTGCAGGCCCTCTTCCCTCTATAGCTGTTCCTTTTCAGATCTATTTCACTTATTCCAGTAAGTGGTAGGTCAAATAATGGTCTCCAAAAACGTGCAGGTCCTAATCTCTGGAACATGTGACTGTTAGGTTATATGCCAAAAAGGAATTAAAGTCGCAGATGGAATTAAAATTGCTAAGCAAGCCGGGCATGGTGGCGCATGCCTGTAACTCTCAGCCTCAGGAGGCTGAGGCAGGAAGATCGTTGCAAGTTTGAGACCAGCCTGGGCTACAAAGTGAGCTCAAGGCCAGCCTGAACTGTATAGTGAAACCATGTCTCAAAATGACAAAATAAATAAATAAATAAATAAATAAAAATTGCTAATCTACTGATTTTAAAAGTGATATTATCCTGAATTAGTAGATGATCCAATGTAATCAGAAGAGTCCTTAAAGTGAAAGAGTGTAGCAGAAGTCACAGAGAAATATCACTTTTACAGCAGAAAGGCAGTGTTGGGGGCATCTAGAAGCAGCAAACAGCAAGAAATGGCTTCTTCCCTACAGTCGCCAGAAAGGAACTATTGGATCTTGACTTTAGCCCAGTGAGACTTGTAGACTTTGAACTGCTATAGAACTATAAGAAAATTAATTTGCATAATTGGAGGCCACTAAATTTGTGCTGATTTGTTTTTTGGTTTTGGTTTTTTTCTGGTACTGGGAATCAAACTCAGGACCTCCCACTTGCCAGGTAGGCGCTGTGCCGCTGAACTAAATCCCCAGCCCCAATCTGTGGTAATTTGTTACAGGTACAATTAGAAACTAATTCAGAGGACTGGGATTTATGCCTGTTTCTTATCTCTCTCTGTCTCTGTTTGTCTGTCTGTCTGTCTGTCTCTCTCTCTCTTTCTTTCTTTTTTTCTTTCTTTTTTGAGATAAGGTCTCACTATGCAGTTCAGGCTGGCCTTGAGCTCACTTTGTAGCCCAGGCTGGTCTCGAACTCAATCTCGAACAACAATCCTCCTGCCTCAGCCTCCCAAGTGCTGGTAGTATAGGTGTGCACCACCACGCCCGGCTCTCTCTCAACAATCTCATAGGGTGTTTCTGTTATTTATTGCTGGCTTCCCCTAGAATGAATGATCTAACAGGGAACAAGATGGAAGCCACAGTGCCTTTACAATTTAACCTGAGATGTCATACACCATATCTGCTTTATCCTGTTGGTTCCCTTCCACCCTATTCAGTGTGGGAAGAGACTAAAAGTTTGTGATTATTGATGACATCACTATTCAGCAAATCAACACAAATAAATGGTTTAAACAATACTAGTATTACCCCCTCTCATGTAGATTTTATGCATTAAGAATTTGGGAAGAGGGCCAGGGATATAGCTCAGTGGCACAAGTGCCTGCCTAGCAAGCACAAGGTCCTGAGTTCAATTCCCGGTACCAAACAAAAAATAATAATAATAATTTGGGAAGATCAATTTTTATTTAGGGGGACTGGGGATTTAGCTCAGCAGCACAGCGCCTGCCTGGCAAGGGCAAGGTCATGAGTTCGATTCCTGGTACCGGAAGAAAATTTTTATTTAGTTTTTTTTTTTCAATACAGAAGATTGAAGCCTGGAGCTCGCACATGGTAGGCAGGCACTGTACCCCTGAACTACATCCCCACCCTCCTTTTATTTTGCTTTGAGACAGGATCTCACTAAATTGCTCAGGCTGGCCTGGAATTTGCAGTCCTTCTGCCTCAGCTTCCTGAAGTGCTGGTGAGTGCTGAGATTATAGGCATTTACCACACACCTGGCTCATGCCCATGTAAGTTCCTAGTGGGATGGACCATCTTCAGAAAAATACAGTCTGCCTCAGGGGGCAACATTATCTCTTCTCTTGTCCCCTCTTACTACCTGTAAGTCATGACTTCCAAGCTCTGACCCAAGCCCACATCTCTCTCCTGGGTTCAGCTGTATTTCGAAACATCTTTTGGGCGTCATCGTCTGGATGTCTCAAAGGCCTGTTAGATCCAAAACACTCAAAACTGAACCCCTGGGCTGGGGATATAGCTCAGCGGCACAAGTGCCTGCCTGGCAAGAGCAAGGTCCTGAGTTCGATTCCCTGGGACCAAAAAAAAAAAAAAGTAAAAACAAAACACCAAAAAACTGAACCCCTAGCTGGGTGTGGTGGTACATACGTGGAATCTTAGCACTCTTGGAACCTGGAGCAGGAGGATAGGAAGTTTGAGCCCAGCCTGGGCAATTTAGCCCTTCCAAAGCCTTCTCCATAATTTATTGCCTTCCTTTCTCCTTTCCGTTGAGACCTTGTCTCAAAATAAAATGAAATATAAAATTAAAAGAGCTGGGGATATAGCTCAGTGTGAAGGCCTTGGGTTCAACCCTCAGTAGCATACACTAACACTCATATTAAAAAAGAGAAAAGAAAGAAGAAAACTGAAACTTTATCTTACCCAAATGTATATCTTTTCCAGGGCTTCCCATTTTAGGGATGGCTCTAGCCAGGCACAGCGGTGCATACCT